CTCCTTGGCTTCTGCTTGGAAGGAAAGGAAAGACTTCTCATCTATGAATTTGTGCCAAATTCTAGCCTTGATCAATTCATATTTGGTATGTACTTGTTTCATCTCTCTTTGAGTTCAAATTTCGAATTTTGTTCAAAAGTAATTTCATTTGAGTTTGCATATTTTGAAGGAGTTGCACCTCTGATGGTCGAGAAAAGGACTTGCAACTCTATGTCCTCTTTTTCCACTCTGTTTTATATACAGGGTCCTTGTTTTGTTTTAGTAATTTGCATACTCACATGAACTATGAATATATAGATCCAATCAAGCGTGCACAATTATATTGGGAAAGACGTTATGGAATCATTTTAGGCATTGTTCGTGGTCTTCTTTACCTCCACGAGAACTCTCGTCTTCGAATTATTCATCGTGATCTCAAAGCAAGTAACATTTTGTTAGATGAAGATATGAATGCTAAAATTGCAGATTTTGGCATGGCAAGATTATTTGGAAGAGATGAAACACAAGGCAACACTAGTAGAATTGTGGGAACTTAGTAAGTATATCAATGAAAAATAGTAAAACTGATTTTTTTTTCTCTTATACACACGTAATATTAGCTTTGTTCCAAATTCACAGCAAAAAAGTACCAGGAATTATTTTATATTTTTTACTGGCAAAATTAATTTATTAAAGCAAAAGAGGCACAAGATATGCCCACCAAAAGGGATTTTAATATGTATTGCATTACAATAATACTACAACATGTCTTTGAAGCTATCCTCATCATTTAATTGAAAATGATTTCTTTGGCATTAATATACATGCAGTGGATACATGGCTCCAGAATATGTAGTGCGTGGACAGTTTTCAGTAAAATCAGACGTTTTCAGTTTTGGTGTATTATTACTGGAAATTGTTAGTGGTCGGAGAAATAGTTGGTTTCAAAATGAGGATGTAGAGGATCTACTAAGCTGTGTAAGTTTGAAAATCTAACTTATGTTTTTCTGTTGTTAAAATAATAGTTCGAGTATTGGCTAGATCTCATTCCAATGTTGTATTCGGGTGCACATTTTTAACTTTTTCCAGGCATGGAGAAACTGGAACGAAGGGACAGCTTTAAATTTCATCGATCCAACTTTAAGGAATGATTCGAGGACGAATCAAATGATGACTTGCATCCACATTGGATTGTTGTGCGTTCAAGAAAATGTTGCATA